TTTTATGCGAGCTCCCGCGGCGCGTGAATATACACTCATGGGTAGGTGGGTGCCGCTCGCGGAGGATGACCGTGCTGAGATCGCTGGAGGATCGAAGGAGGAATGTAACGCGGTCCCGTGGCTTCGAGGAGACTGGAATCACAGAAAAGTATTCGGTCCGGGTTCGCGTGGAAGCCATGCCACGGCGTTCCGCACGCAGGAACGCGGCTGCCAATAAATAAGGTTCGGCATTTCCCGCGTCTTATCGACCACTCGAGCACGCCACGGAGGATGGGACCACTTCCGATCGAATCGATGCACCTTATCTGCCTACCAACCTTGGGAGGGGGCAGAAACGTTTCAGGGAAAAAGGGAAACAAGGCCCTTTGCGAAGAATGGCGTCGCGAGTAAAACTCATGGTGTAATAAATTCGTGACTGAACCGTGTTCGTTATGAACGCGTAGTGTAAGTCGTTTTTGGGGGGAGGAAAGGTTTCTTTTCTTTTTATCCTAGTCTTGATTATACCAAGTATCCACTGGTAGTATTGATGACGTTATGTTACTTAATTTAGTGCGCCAGCAAACGGCGAATTACGGTATTTTTTGGTAGAGGAAACGGGCCGATGTTTCTGGAAAGACGTGGCTCGGTTTCGAAAGACGATAATTACGCTTTTACGGTACACGGCCAAACCCAATCTACATTGTGTCTGCGAGGCGGTTCTCTCGCGGCGAGACGTAGGAAATCGCGCAATACTTTTAGGCTCCCCCGGTACGCACGTTGCGAAAAAGTGAAATGCGTTGTACCATTGCGTTTCCATTGTTGTGTTAAGACCAGACGAAAAACGGGGCAAGGTTGAATTTCCAACTTCCATAAAAAAAAAACACTCGCCCATGTCGCTTGCACCTGAAAATGTATCTATACTGTATATCATTGAATCTGTTATCAGTTTGTTCGTTTAGTTTCGGTGACTCGTCTCTCCAGTGATCAACAAAACTGCGCGCCTAGATCTCGGTAAGGTCCTTGCATCTTTACGGTTTGTTGTAAAGATTCAGCCACGATACGATTGTCCTCGAGTACGTTTCGCGCTGTCTTACTAGAAAACGTGTACCGTTGCAGGGACTCTTCGAGCCTCTTTGACGCGAAGAGGAGCGAACCTGATGGCAATCTTTCGTTGCATCGCGTGTCGTGGATCCCGATAGGGATCTCTGTGAAGTGTGACATACACGATCACGGGGAGTGTTCATTATCAAATTGGTCCTGAAAGCTTTGGGATCGCAAATGCTGTTAATCCCTGCGTCGAACCATGATAATTCTGTCAGGGGTGTCGTCGATCGAATAACGCCGCCATAACCGAGAAGATCGCCGGTACCTGATAAAATTACGCGTGCACAGCGACACAGAACGATTCAAGATCCCGAAATGACTGGCAGAAGGGCCCGGTGCTCGCGATTCCCGTGACGTTCCGTGAACCGTGATCCGACGGTGACGCGCAAAACACCGACGACGCGTTTCTCATTGTGAAAATTCCCCAGTTGGCCACCTTGGATCCCTGACCTCCCTGGCGTACGTCTCCTTTAATTGCGTTTGTCATTTCGTCGTTGGTGTCTCATTACGTAGAAAGTTGGAGGTTTAAGTCGGCTGGTTGCGAACCTAGGTGGCCTCTTTCTGGTAACGGCAACTAACCAACCCGACCAGACAGCCAACAACAACAACGACGAAGGAACGAACGAACGAACGAACCAACCGACCGACCAACCAGTCATGAGCCCCCTTTTACCTTACGTATAGCCCTCCGCGTGCCTCTCTTCGCATCGCCGCTCTAGATCTTCGGATAAGAGCGAACACCATTTTAGCGGTTCCTTACACACCAGACATCCGTTCCCTTCCTATATATACGTGGTACGGGGAGAGCTCGCTGCATTTTCTCCGCGCGAATGTGTCAAGCCGACTGGGAAACGGAGAGAGACCGCCGCCGACGGTCGGGCTTGGCTTGGCGCGGGTGTAGGCGGGAGGAGGAAAGGACAAAGAGGTCGGAGGGAACGGGAAAAGGGAGAGGAATCGGTGGAACAGAGATCCTCCATTGAAGACGAAGAAAGAGAGTACCAGAAGTTGGAGTAGGAGGGATGGAGGGAGATATGGGCATGTCAGCCGAAACCTTCTAATCCCACGTACTACAGGTGCTTAATTCGTTACGTGAGACCGGAGGAAACAGTAAACGGGATAGTGTACCGTTTTTCCTGATAACGAATAAGGGTTTCGTTCCTCCGCGTAGGCGTAATTAGGACTGGCGGGAGTTTATCACCGCCAGGGCGTCGAGCCTGGTTAAATTGACGTTGCAATCTTGTCTCAGCGATGGGACGCGTTAACTCTCGCCTAGTCTCTAGCGATTTAAGAAATCTGACATTTTCAAACTCCACTGATATTGTTGTAGGAGCACGAGGACACCCTATGGGTCCTGACGAGTGGTGACAGGAGTTGCAACGATATTTTCAAGTACCAATAGGGTTCTCTACCCCATTAATGGCCCGATCGATGCTCGACAGGTCTCCAGGTACCTAGATCTGCCCAGCCGTGGCTCGATGAAGTGTTTAAAAGCGGCGCACAACACCCAGATCATCCACGCTGGCACCGCACAATTATCCAGGCGTTATCTTCATCGGCCCGCGTTACCATAAAGTGCAAATTCTTGCGGGAATCCTTGTTACGCGTGAAAAATTAATATCTTTTTTCTCACGGGCGTTCCGAGTAAACTGGATATACGGTTAAGTCTCCAATTAAATGCAGAATTAACCCGAATACGGTATCTCTATAAACAACGTTGAAGGCGAGCACTCGACGATGGTGTGCGTGCCTAGACCGCGAGTATGCTTGATAAAACGAAATTAATTTGTAATTACGTTAACCCGGATGCGGCCCCGTTCACCTCGCGTCCCTCTATGCAACAATGTGGAGAAATAGCAAAGTTCCGCGTACGTTGCATCCAGACGACGCCAGTGTAAAAATACCATCAGCCTTTTTCTCGTTCTTGTAATATTAATCGAAGATAACGCCGATAGGTTGCTTCACTTACTATGTATTTGACGAATGCATCTCTCATTGCTTTATACCTATATGCATTGGTTGATAGTGTTTTCCAGGGCACGGTCATTTGGATCAACTCCGAGTTACACGAGTCTCTTGATTCATTTCACACTCCACAAACCCGGAGGGAAATTTGAAAAAATCAACAAACTTGGAATCTTTCTATCTCCTACCGCAGTCAGGTGATCCCAGGTGATCGCCACGCAGTGGCGATTGCAATTTGCGTACGAATCCTCAGGCTCGCCAGCAGTCGATCGCACGTAAAATCTAGCTTTGCATGCTGATAAGGGGCTTCCCGATTAATGGTGTGCGTCCCCGTGTACGTGCAGACGCAAGGTTCCCCCGTCGTGTATTGCACCTTCTTTGCCCCCCTTTCTCAGTCTGCTTGCCTTGCTTCTTTGCCGTGCCCTCTCTCTCCAGCTCGCCGTTTCTCCTTCTCTCCCACGCTCGGTCTTCGTCCATCTTCGTCGTGGTCTCGTCTAAGCGTGTACACGCGCACGCAAACGCCGCGTGTCGATGTGTGTAGGGTTATTAGCCCAGAAAGCAAGGCCCCTGCTTCCGGTGTAGGCACTTTAGTCGGAGAGTTTCTTAACCCCTTCTTACAAGCGACTCCTTCGCTGGCCTGGCCTGGCCTAAGACTCCGTGCCCTGGCCTGGCCTGTTGTCGGTTGCGGGTGGTAGGACTCCGTCGACAGGCACGGCCCCACGACAAAACTATGTATTCCGTAGCCACGTGTGCACGCGGGGTAGCTTAGGTCGCCAACGGGTGGCGAACCGTCATTTTTTCACGGACGTGCACCAAGCTGGACCCAGCTGTTCTGGAACGATCGTAAATTTCGAACAGAGCGCACGATCATGACTCTCGTGCACGCGACCTTGCTTATCGTACCCTGAAATGATACCTGTGCATGCGCCACGGATGCTGCGAACTCCTGAACACAGGAAGCTCCTGAACCGTTTCGATGTGGTTCGTCTTCCTTGGCGAGCGAATCGATTTAAGGGCCGAGAGTGGCTAAAAACGCTGGGTTAAAGTTTTTTTTTTTTCGTTTAGACTCTTACGCTTTGCGATAAACGATACCTTTGCCAGAAAATGGAGTACCTACCTGGTACTTTCCCCGCTCGATATGGATCCGAGGTGATTTGTGAGTCAGATAGCGATTAGAATAACGCGATTGAATTGGTACCGAGGTAGCCTCCTTGCTGGCACTTTCGAAAGTGATGACCCCGCGTGCGGCGAAGATGCGTGCAGGCGCTTCCTCCTTGGAAAGCATTTTATACGTATGGAACAACACTAATGCGATGGAGATTAGCTTACCTCGGTTCTCATGAACTATTTTTGAGCTTAATCGTTGCGCTGATCTGCTGTTACGCGCCGTACGTATGTACCTACGCCGGAGCCAGGTTGTAACAGATAATTACACGCAAGGTAGGGGGATAGACGTTCCTGGATCGCTAATGAGCTTCTGGAATATTATCGATGCTCGCGGCGGGAGCATAACTGCTTTTCAACTGAGATTGTAAATTTTCCGTTGTTCACCCGACTCGAAGGAAAAGATACGCGATTGCGCGCAGCAGGAGTATAATGGCGTTTCCATAGATGCTCGAGCAGGGGAGATCGGAAACGTTCGAGCGCGCATGGAGAAGGTATTCAAATAATTATTTCCAAGGAGCTGATGGATGTATAATTCATAAACGTGGAATCGTTTCGCGGTTTCCTTCGGGTCTTAACGCTCGATGGACACCTGTCGGAGGGGTGCCAGAGCGACGGGACCGATGACGTGCGCCTTAACACCGATGCTTATCAGTTCCCACGCGCTCAGGTGTCAGGCATCGAGGGATCTCATTGATAAGGAGAGCTTTCCGAAAGAGGCTCCAGGATTTTGTTCAAAAATAAAATACACATCACGCTTAACTGTACCTGTCTCGATAGCGCCGCGTTTCATTAATGAGAAGGCATCTAAGTATAAAAGTCTAGAGAGGGCTGGCGCACCAATTGGCGAAGAAGATAATACACGATAATCAAACGCAGCTCGTAGGTCGAAGCTCGCTCGCAACGCTCGAGTTGCTTGGGAACTCGGCGCGTTGCGCTGAAAACTTTATGCAACATGATTACACGAACGAGATTTGAATTCGAGAAATATTCGAGCGTCTTAGATAAGAGGCACGATTCTAGGAAACTCGGTTATATGACCGTCGGTAAAATTAAACCGAATGGTCTGTACGTTTTAACACCAGCAATTAACGAATCATACATTTAAATTTGCAGGAAGGAGGAAAACAGGAAGAAACACGTGTTGTGTTGCTGAGAAAAAACAAAATCCTGAAGCCTCTTCAATAGAATCAACCCCTGAAATAAACATCGGTATATTTATTATCGATACTACGGTATCTTTGAAGTAAGACAACAAATCGTTACCTGCAACCAGAAACCACGACGATGACACTTTTAATAAAGTTATTTTTATAATCAAGAAACTGAAAATACTTTGTAGCAAACAACAGTCTGAAGAAAACTATCGCAATGAGCAAGCTTCAGCGAGACCAGAGCTCGGTGCGCATTTCCGCGAGTTTTCAATTTATTCATCGCTGACGGTCACACATCGCGAGTTCCTCGGGTCACAGGTGAAGGATTCGAGAGTCGCTCCTTCACTTCCTCTTCTTCTTTTCCCGTCGCTCGGGCGTTTCTGTTCTCTCCGTGAGGGCAGGGAGGTTCGTTTCGCGCTCGCGTTATTAAAATAGCACTGCCAAACCGCGATTTAATCGCGAGATTAAAAAAAATTACCCGCCAAGTTAATAACACGTGACCGAACGATGAATTTAAAGCGACTGGTAACGTCGACTTTACGACGCCATTTGTTGATGCCTCTCAAATAATGATCCGAATGCACACGCTCGAAACGGGCTTTAAATGCTAGGTTAGGTTTAACACAGGTCATTTTGATCCATTCCTATTTTCACTGTTTATATTACGATCCGCATAAAAATACAAGCATCCAAATTCATTTTTGTCTAAGCCTTCTAATTAATTCGATCAAATCGACTTCATTTATCGAAGCACTGCTTTAATAGAAATTTCATACGAAATCTCGGTAAACCTAGCGTTAATAAAAGTGAATATTTTTCTGAACATAGTTACTGTACCTTCATTGCTCGAATGTGTAATTATTCAACGCTGAAGTTAAGTGGTACGAATAACGAATAGAAATATTCATCGAGTAGCGTTGTTCATTTTTCATACGTTACGTAACAGCTTCGACCATGTGCTTAGATTATCATCAGACGTAAAGAATATTAATTGCCTAATACCGTAGTTTCCTTTTGCTTGTAACGATTGAAAAGCGTTTTATTAGAAGCGACGATTCGTACGAGAAATGAATTCCTACGTTTCAAAACATCCTCGCCGGATAGCCCGTGTGAAAAACGAGTCCTACATGCGCAACGTCGAGTCTCCGTCAATCTAAGAAGATAAGAAATTACAGGAATCGTTGGACGGATGTTCCGTGCCCTTTAGATCGATTCATAGCTCGATCGTAACACCGAGAACGCCTCGTGTGGTTTCTTTATTCATTAGACTTCGGTACAGCTCAGCGGTAATTTTTTATGCGAGGAATTAATGCACGCTCGCCGCGATAAATTATTGAAATTTGCAATTACTTACGTACGTGGGCTCCGCGCCTATTCGCCACCTGAAACACGATAAAATTGTCATAAATGTAATTTCTTGTGAATCTCAAAAATATGAATTTGTAATGCGTAGAAAAGAGTAGAGGTCTATCGGTGAACTCGAAAAAGAATATAGCACAGAGAAAAGTATTGCAATGTCGGAAGTGGCAATGCCCGGGCAGCGTACGGTTCTCAAAGGGTTAATTGGGCATAGTAACTCCTCAGGTGACCAAGCTCCATGGGAGTGGAACGGAGAAAAGCCAGCTTTATGCCACGCATTTAGCCACTGTATCTACATCAGTTGTCTTGGATAATTTATAAATATTTAATGGGGCATCTACGACCCCTCGAGATACCTGAAACGTGTTTTTCGCCAACATTTTTATACGTTTAAAGGAAGAAGGCAGGTTCTAGCGTTTGTGCGTACCTGTTCCGAACCGATTGTGCCCTACTCGGAACCCAGCCTTTATTATACTCTCTGTCTCCAATCGAGCGTGACAAATTATTCCTGCGTCACGTCCGCCTGCGATTTGCAAAAACGTTCACGAGTCGACGGACGGGATTCGTCACTTCTACCACGCTCGATTCGATATTTCAATCGATACTATATTAACGATCTATTTTCAAGCATTTACAAAAACGTTTTCTACTACCTGAAAGTATCCCAGGCCTCCTTTGCAATAAATTCACATAATAACTCGGTGGGTTATCAGAAAATCAACTCCTCACACTGTCCCTCTTCTCCGTTGAGTTTCTACCCATCAAAATCAACGAAACCAGCTACATTCTGACCTACCACCAGCAAAATACTCCAATAACCCAGCTCATTTCTTCAAGAATCGACCTCTCTGGGCTTCCTCTCTCCCCTATCGAATCTACCCCCTGCGGAGACGTCACCCCAAGGAGCATTCAGCTGGACAAAGGCTCGATAAGGACCCAGTGACCTCTCGTCGCCTTTCTCGCCGAATTGGTCCGCGAAATCTGTTATCTGAGATCGGCCAGAGTCCAGATCGAGGATAAAGATACGCTCGTGAAGGGGGGGGCGGCGGAGCAGGGGGGCAGGTCAAAAATTCTCACGGTCACGCGGCGCGGAAGCATCGCGAAAAACATAAAAATAGATGCAGCGTGTAGGCGAGGATAGGAGAGAAGAAAAAAAAAAAAAAAAGAGTATCATCCTTGCGTGTCGGACGGTGGGGCTGAGGTCGCGAGGAGTCGAGGAGCACAGCGCGGTCGAAGGAACGGAGCCCAGGCGCACACGGTGCCGTCGGTGTATAAGTCAGCACTCAGGATATTTCGTCATTTCCTGCTTCTCACGCGATACAATCTAAATTAACTATGTTCGCTTGGCTAGGCCTCCTCCCTCGCAGAGGCTCGCATCTCTCAAGAAAATTTCTTATTTCCTAGCGTGGAGGGCACACGGCCGCCATCAGACAGGGGCCCCTCCACCGGGCGCCCATCGCTGACAGACGCAGAAACTGGCGCGCCAGTTCTCCAGAAACTGGCTCGTTCGAACACCGATAGAGGATAGGCTGAACGAAAATGCGAGAAATCGAATAGAATGCCTACGTATAGAAGAAGAGAAGTACTCAGCAATGTCACGAATTAACGTACGATATACACACCGTACTCCTGTATAGCTTCATTTTTGTTTTCTCACAAAATAAACACTTTTTGCAAAGAATCTGTACAAGAATCTTCTAGATCCAGATCATCTCAGAAATCAATAGAAGGCATCGTAAGAGCGAAAAAGTATCGCGAACGCCGCTCGATCGATCGACGAAGGCAGTAAGTACGATGACACGATGCTGAAAACAACTGGAGGAGAATAATGAGTGCCGAGAGCGATGAAAGTCGCGATAACGAGAGATCGTCGATGACGTGGACAAAAGGGGAACAACGACGGGGACGACGTAGGAGCAGGAAGATCGATCAAAATGGCGACGAGAAGTCGAAGAGGGCGAAGACCCTGGGACGGCTTTCACGAGGAGGCACGCGGGTAATTCCCTTGGAAAATTTAACTTCGACGTTCCAGCGACCGGAAGAGGCTCGCTAAGGCGCTCCACGTGTAGGTGAAAAAGGAATTCTCGGTAAAAACCTCGTCGCCTCGAAACTTTACTCGGTCTGTTCGCCACATCGGGCGTGACGTTTGTGAAACCTCGCGGATTCTAATTCGTCGCGTTTCTCTTCGGGGAGAGGTTGCGTTACGGTTTGAAGGTACGGGCGTCGCAGGAAGTAGGGCGTAAAATGCCATGACCTTTGAACCGTGCGTTGTTTTATTTTTTAACAGGGAAATGGAGTGAGGAAAACTGCGTGGAAACGTGGACTGCGAGAAAGGATAAGGGTGAACGTAAGATAGTGAATAATACAGGGAAATGCAACATATTACTGAATACAAAAATAAAGACAGAAGAGAGCAATTAAACTACAGTTTATAAAGGGTATCTTAAAGTGAAGCATTAATTATAAATATCGTTTGCTACTTCTCCGTCGTGAAAATAATTTTCAAGCATACCATAACTAAATGACACTACTAGGAGTGTCGTTATACTTGCTGATTGGAGTCAAGGGAGCTTTGCATTCCACGAAACGCGGAGTGACGCAACGAAAGTTAACGAAGGAGGTTGTATTTCAAAAGTGGACCACGGATGTTTCATCGAGTCACGATACCGTCTGGGCGGCACTGATTGTGGATCATTTGGCGAAGTCATTTAGCGACGCCAAGTGCATTGCGTCATCGATCGAACCGATCCGTGAGATACACATCGTTGGCCATGCTTTGTAGCACGTCACGCTTGTAATTCCACTCTTATTCCGTTAACGTAATCCCTACGTGCGAACGAAATGGCAAATTTACTTCAGTTAAATTAATGTTAATTGCGTACGTGTTCAATCGGGTAACAAGGAGTTTAAATAGCATGAAATTGATCGTTAAACCGGGAAAATATTGGGGAGGAAAGCCCGACGATGATCTTGTTTACAAGATTGCTACTTCCATGAATTATTTCGTTGTACAGGGTGTTCTATATATGCGGGTGTGAAGTCAGAGGTGCATCGAATCGAGATAAAATTTAATTTATATCCTAAAGTTCCAAAGCAGCTTTCGGAAAACCATTTGTAAATAATATACCAGAGTCGCGTTAACAATCTTGTAAGTATTGACTTTCTATAATCTACACTTAAAGAGATGGCCAGATTTTACAAGACACCTTGTACGTATCCAATCTTTAATAGAAACAGAAATAAAAACATGAATCCTCGAGGTATCTCCACGAAACAAGAATCACATTATACATTCTGCTTCAGGCTTAATTAAAGAGTCTTAATAACCCATACCAGTTGTACAATCACTTTACGACTTACTAAATTCTGACGAGATTAGAATTTAATTATAGTTTCAGGATGGATTCCGCGATGGATGCTCCAGGCTTAATTATTTCCCGATTATAGAGCCTGACTATACGATAATTTATTTGGAATATACGCTAGAAAATTCCAAGCAGTGTCAAAAGAAGGTGAAGAGTTATCGTCGTTGAGCCCCCAGAAATTTGGCGGACGTCTGACCAGTGATGGACCGTATCACTGACTCCGAGCGATGCTGGAAACCATCCACCGATCATTCGTCGAAACCAGTTTTATTCACGCGATGGATAACAAATTATATAGATTTAATTATACAGATTTATGTATTAATCTACTATCAACTTTCATGCGATTAAATAGTTACATTTTCATTTGTTGTTGAATCTCCAGGATTCCTTTTCTATGTACCAAGTCTTTCTTAAACCCAAGACTGAACCTCCCCAGGAACTACCGTGATAGATTCACCCCTATCAATAGAATCCTTATGTCTTCAACATCCACGGTCGATTTCTCACCGCCAAGAATCACCCTTTTGGCTATCCCAACCACCCAAACCAGGGTTAAACCTCATCGATCGCGACAAGGATCTTCCACGTGCACGAAGATCGCTTTTGCGGTTGATTCGATAGGAACGGCGGTTCCAATGCAGCCCGTGGAAAGAAGGAACGCGGCTTGCACGATCAAATCGCGATTTCCTTAAGTATTTAAGATCAGGAAGTACCAGGCGAACTTCAAAGAACCTGCGAGGCGAACAGAGGAAAGGAGATGATATCGTGGCGCGCGGAAATGTTATGGCGTGCAAGGAACACGCGAAGAAGGTGTAAATGACCACGGACGAGCAAATGCACGAAGAAAACCACCCGATACGCTTGTTCTTCCGCAACAGGGGTGGGGACGGTCCTCTTTTTTACGCATGAATGCGTCCAGACGCAATCCTACTTTCTCCATAGGAACGAATTCAACGGGCCTATGGGGAACTGATGAGATCCTCATAGATCATGTTGTAACTCTGCTTGTAGAGAGATTGAAATCGAGGGACGGGGTGAAGTAAGGTCTCGAAGAAAGGAGGAAAGAAAAAGCTAGGATTGCCTTAATAAAAACTCCTCTCACCCATTTTCTAGGTAACGTCGCGACTAACGTGTTAATTTCAATTTTACTAGCAAGAACTGAACAGTCTTGGTCACTACAAGCAGTCGCTAGCCAAGAGATTAATCCACCCTATCACCAGCAGTCATTGGATCGATCCCATCGCTACGTCTCTCATAGTGGATGACGGAGTTTACCGTCTGCCAGGGACGACAAGAAGCGAGACCGCGAACGGTATTCCCAATTGTCATTCGACGCGTAGACATATTAGGGAAATGAATCGCTCGACTGTGCCTTATCAACATCGGATTCGTGCAAGGAATATAGCCGACTCCTTTTTACAGTTCGTTTGATTATCTTCCGATCGTGAATCTATTACGGTGGAATACAATGCCAGCGTACTAGACACGCCGCGTTAACGGACAATGTCGGAATACGTTGTCTTCGGTAACGTTCATAGAAAAATTCGCGCGAGGGAGTCATTCCAACGAAGCGTGCCCGACTCGCGGCTGACTTCTGTCACGAAACCCACGTTCTTCGGCGTTTCGACGCGTAACAAAGGCATTTAATTTACTTA